ATGTTTTCCCTGACAAGCAAGGTGTCTTTTCCTCCTCACTGCTTTAGAGAATTTTTCTTTGTCCTTAGATTTCAGAAGTTTGGTTATGATGCTGCTTCAGTAGATTTCTTTGGGTTTATACTATTTGGGCTTTGCACAGCTTCTTAAATCTGTGGGTTTATATCTTTGGCCAAATTTGGGAAATTTTGAGCCTTATTTCTTTGAATATTTCTTCACCATAACCCACTCTCTCCTCTCTTTTGGACTCCAGTTATCTAGTGTTTAATCTTTCTTTGTAGTGTCACAGGTCACTGAAGCTCCGTTTGGTTTTTCCCAGTCTGTTTGCTCTCTGTTGTTGAGATTGTGTAATTGTATTTTCTGTCTTCAAGTTCACTGATCCTCTGGCCTATCCATTCTCCTGTGAGCCTTTCCATTGAGGTTTTTGTATTAATTATTATATTTTTTAGTTCTATGATTTCCACTCAGTTTTTCTTTATAGCTTCTATATCTTTGCTAAGATTTTCCAGTTTCTGAGATGGTCTATTTTCTCAATTGTTTCAAGAGTATGTGTATTTCTTGTTGATGCATTTTTATGATAGCTGCTTTAAACTCTTTGTCAGATAATTCCAGCATCTGTGTCTTCTGGGAGCTGGTGTCTCTTGACTTTTCTTATTCAAATTGAGATTTTCCCCATTCTTTGTATGATGAGTAAGTTTCTATTTTATTCTGGGCATTTAGGGTTGTATGTTTTGAATCTCTGTATCTCATTTAAACCTTCTTTATTGGCAAACCGCCTCTGACATCACTCCAGTGGGGGAAAGTAGGCACTACTTCATTATTGTTAGGTTTGGGTGAAATCTCACTTTCCTTTTTTGGCCTCTATTGACAACCTGATACAAGAATGAGAGTTTCATTACTGATGGGCGGGGATGGGGTTGAGGTTCTACACTAGGTGTCTACTGCTCCCCCAGGATCAGAAGGCCTTGTTAATGCTGGGCAGTGGGGAGAGTCCTGGCTCTCCACCAGGCCTCTCCTACCTCACCCCAGCAGGGAAGGGAGATAGGCCTCACCTGCACCAGGTAGGGGATGGGAGACTGGCTTCACTGACACCATGAGGGAGGACCTTGTTAACTCTGGGAAGGGACGAAAGCCCCAGCTTCCCCTCAGCCTTGTCTTACTCCCTTTGGCTGAGGGATATTTGTGACCCATGGCAGCCAGGTGAGTTTGGGAGTTCCTCACTCATGGTTTGCTGGGGTGTGAGGAGAGATGGGGTACATGTATGGTTTTTACCTAAAGTTTGGCTCAAGTAGGTCAGTTATTGCCTAAAAGTCTGCTGTCTTGCTAGGCTGGTCCTTTAGCTAGAGAGGACAGGCTTCTGTTGGGGCATTTCTGTCTGCACCTAGTGGCATGTCCCGCAAGACTGCTCAGCATCCGTGGGAAGCGTGTGTGAGTGGCGTGCGTGAGGCAGAGGAGCTCTGGGGAACTCGCCGGTGCGTGGCATCCCGTGTGCTCTGGGGTCCCTCGCTGGTCTGCTTTCTTCTCTCCACCAGAGTCTTCGTGTCTCTGTTTTGTGAGTACTGCCTCCGGGTTTCAGCTGTGCTTAGGGAATGGATGGGCAGAAGCGTGTCTCAACTAGAAGTCCTTTGGTTTTTGTTTTTTTTTTTCACAGCATCCTGCTCTTGTTTAATGATTTCAGTGTCTTCCTTTTTCTTTTTGAGGTTGTTAATTTTGGCTCCCTCAAAGTTTTCTTCTATCCTTTGTGTTTTCTGTTTCCTGATTTTTTTTTTCTTTTCCCATTTATTTTAGTCTTTCTAGTGTGTTGAAGGTTTTTCCTAAATGTCTCGCGGTCTTTGAGTGAAATTCCTATTTATTAAGAGTAAGGCACCAGATATCTGTTTAGATGTTCTGTGGGCATGTTTGGAGCTGATCAACTGGTGAGCTTCACCGCAGGGTGACTGAGATGTCGCTTATTTCATAAGACAGTGTTGAGAGGCCTTTTCTCTGGGAGCAGTTTCTCTCAGCAGTTGCCCATCCGGGAGGTGTAGGCTTATCCTAGGAACGAGTGAAGCAGGGTGCTGAGTGGCCCCTGTTCACTGTGCAGACTTTCTTGTTATCTCTGTTTCCATCTCAAACCTGTCCACTGTTTATACTGCAGGTCTGTGCTCTCCAGAACCTGGAGCCTCATGTCTGATTATTCAAACCCTAAGCCTCCGGGCTTTGGTCTTGGCTGGCAGTTTGACGGGGAGGGGAGTGAGCATGGTCACGTGGCCATCTGGGCCGGGAGGTTAACTGAGGCCGCACGTGCACACACAGACTCTAAGCCAAACCCCTGTGTCTCTCCTCCACAGCCCCGGGGACCCTGCCGCCTTTAGAGAGCCCCCTGCACGTGGCAATGGCGGCTGCCCGCCACGTCCCCCTGCCCTTTTCCAGATTGTGTTGAAATTTATCATCTGCCTTTGTCTCATCATTTCTTAATTTTGACTTTTGGGGAACACAACTATGGGCAGGAGTTACTTAACTAATGATAGCCCCTCCGTTCAAACCCACATTTACCCCACACCAGAGTCCGACCCAGAAGCAAGCTACTGCGCTCTCCTCTGCCTGTCTCCCCGGCACAGACCCTCGCACTAGCCTTGCTCAGAATCCCCTGGAGGGCATTTTAAACGTGGATTGCTGGCCCCTTCCCTGGGGCTTGAAAGTCTACATTTCCAATAAGTTCCCAATAAGTTCCCAATAAGTTTCCAATAAGGAGTACAGGTTGGGCACTGACCCACTGCAGCACAGCTGGCTGGCCAAGCCAGGGACCTTGGCTAATGGGGAGAAGGGGAGCCGGCTGTTTTCCATTAAGTGGAGAAAACTAAGGCACAATTTCGCACCTAGAACACCTGTGTCTCCAGCCAGGGTTCCCTCCAAAGGCTCATGCCCAAGTGCTAGGGTTCTAAAGTGCTGATGAAACAGAAGGTGAGGAAAAAACTGTCACTGTGGCTTCAAGAGGTCCCAGCCAACAGCCCGGGTGCAGGCTGGTAGAAAGCTCAGGGATGCTGTGTTGGAAAAGTCCAAGTAGGAAGTTTTCTTCTAGTTGGGAAAGAAGGGAGCTCTCCTTGGGTGGTGGTGAGCTGTGTTCTTGTGGAAGCCGCAGGTGAGGGTGGCTCGCCCTCCTTATGGGTGGCTTATGTCATCTACACTCTGAATGGCCTCAGAAGGACCCAGCTTTCATATTGAGTGTACACACAAAAGGCATAAAGGGAGCCTTGCGTACAGACACGCTCGGTTAACATCCGTTCCCCTTTTGGGGACTTTGAGGGCTATGAAAGTGTCTGAGGCATGGTCCTTGCCCAGCTGTGGAGGTGTGATTTCCACGTATGAGACGGCAGGAACAGGTACCGTCTGGACTAGTGAGTGGACGTGGGCTTTAATTCAGAGGTCTGTGACCTCAGGCAGGTCACGTAAGCTCTCTGGGTTTCTGCGATGCCATTTGTAGGAAAGGGAGAAGACACCAGCTGCTCCAGCCCCGAGGGAGCTGGGGAGAGAGAAAGGAGGTGAAAGTACATTTTACACGTGGAGTGGTATCTGGGAGCTCCGTGGAAACTCATCCGATCAGTGGTTCTCAACCTGGGCTGCACACACCGGTTCCTGGAGAGCCGGATACGGCGCGACTGCCGGCTGTCCTCCCCAGCAGCACGGAGCCGTCACCCACGCGTCCCTCCTCCTCTCCCTCGCTGCATATGCGTGCAAATGTATGTGCATACATTTTAAATTCTTTAAGACTACCTCAGATTAAACAGAGAGTATATAATTGAGTCTTAATCTTGTAGAAAATTATTATGCAAAATACTTTAATCTCCCAGATAACTTTTAATCACTTCCAGAATAAGGATCCCTACAATTTCTACCATGAAAGTGAACTCTATCAAGGTGCTTAAATTTACAATAACTTCATTTTCCATGTACCTACCCACTAAATAAACAGCTTATTCAGTTCAGAAAGAGCTATTTAAGAGGCAACACCCCAAGCTCCGGCACTGAGCGTACCCACTTCCCACCCACTGCCGTGTCGGGAAGAGGGTGCAGGAAAGCAGGTCCCCTGCAGGGCTGCCACAGAGCACCGGCCAGCTGGCCAGGCAGCCCAGGACCGCCCAGGAGGGCTGCTCTCTCCAACCCTGTTTTTGGGAGGAACGTATTAGCAAAGTCTTGCTTTGTCAGACTCGGCCTTCCTAGGCCTCCAGCATGTATGCATGTTCTTGAAATAAAAGAAACTCCACCATAATGTTTGTACCCTCATAATACCCTGAAATTAAAAAAAAAAAAAATCATACTTTAAAGAAAAAAAAAGAAACTCCACCTTAGTTTCCACCAAACAGAGTGCTCAGAGTGCCGGGGGTGTCATCGCATAGAGGCCACAGAGGTCGGGCTGCAAAGGAGGTGTCTACTGAGGGGTGCAAGTGTCAGACTTGGCAGCACGTGGGAAGAAAAGGGTTTCTTCTCCCAGCAGCTCATCCCACAGAGCAGAGTTGCTCGTGATGTTAATACAAGCCTCCTTATTCTGCTACTGTGGGCACATTCTATTTTGAAATTGTCAGGGTGCCTGAGTGCATTCGCTGCAACCTGGAACCAGCTGACAGCCTGCGTACATTTCGGTGGAATAAGCACTAAGTACCTGAAGTGTGTTCCTGCTTCGATTGTGTTCTCAAGGGATTTTGTCTAAGTAAAGCTTTTACCCGAGTTACTGGCCTTTAAAAAGTATTCCTAATGAGCGTGCTAAAGTCAGTAATTACTTTTAAGACCTAATTCTTTGATCAAAGTAGAAGACTGGATTTTTTTGAAATAGTTGAGAAGGTAGACATTTTAACAGAAACAAGATTTGTTTGTTCTTAGTCTTCACTTTCCAAAATTACTGTGAACAAAGTATTTCACTGGACTCTGTCCTTTGAGAATTAACCAAAACATAATGTTATACCCAAAAGAAATTGGGCAGCGGAAGGCACTGTGTCCCCAGTTTATATGTTCTCTCTGCTCTCCAGAACCACAAGCCGTGGGAGGAGCTGCTGGGTGAGAAGCCCAGCTGCTCCTGTGGTCAGAAAGCTGTCCACGCTGAGCCGGCTCAGGGACCAGGCCCCACCACTGAGAGGATAACGTGGATCCTCCCCAGGGAAGCTCCTGTACCACCTAGGAGCATCGCCCACTGCCCGCCCATCAGCTTGGATGATCTGTGGCTGGAGAAGATGCAGAGAAAGAAGTTGGAGAAGCAGGCCCAGGCTGAGCCGAGGATGCAGGCAGGGGCAGCCCACAGAGATGGAGTCCAAGTAAGCATCCACAGGCCAGGCATCTCAGAGGTGACCTGGTACCCCCTCCTCCTCTGCTGCTGCCTGTCATTTCCTGAGCTTTCCCCCAACTCTCTCCTGTGCTGTAACTGGTCAGCCTGAGCCCCCTGGATTATAGCACACCTCCTGGGCCTCCTAGTACTAGCCTGCAGGAGAGACCTGTCCTGGTGGTGTGCCCCCACAGCGTGGAAACCAGAGCACCCTCTTCCTTCTCTGTAGTGTGTCTCTGCCTGTGGCCAGCCCTTTGCAAGGCAGCAGAGTGAAGAAGATGGGCTCCCTGCTCTCAGGGACCTCACCACACTGCCTGCCATTTAGTGAGTGCCTACTGCATGCCAAATGTTAGACACAGAGGCACAGCACATCTTAATATGACAATCTTAACTAAACTAATTAAATGTAATTATATGGTCAATTAGATTTTGTTTCTAGGGACATTTTGACACCATGATTTTTTGCATGAAATTGACAGCATATGAAAAAATGACTTAATAGCGTAGACATCATACCTTTTACCCAATCTTTGACAAGAGTTTCTTGTTCTTTCCTTTTATAAATAGCAGCATTTTTTATTATCAAGTGTTATGAAGTATACATCTCTGAGTCTCACCTCATCCCTGAGTACCCACTTTTTTTATTGAGGTGAAATTCACATAACATAAAATTAACCATGTGAAAGTGAGTAATTCACAATATTTTGCAAGCGTCACCTCTGTGAAGTTCCAGGACGTCTTCATCACCCCAAAGTAAAGCCCACACTTATTAAGCAGGTATTAGCGATTCCCCTCCCCAGCCCCTGGCAAACGCTGATCTTCCTTCTGTGCATATGGATTTACCTGTGCTGGAGTTTTCATATAAATGGAATCCTACAATACGTGACCCTTTGTGTCTGGCCTTTTTCACTTAGCATAATGTTTTCAAGGTTTATTCATGTTGTAGTATATATTAGAACTTCATTCCTTTTTTTTTTTTTTTGAGACAGAGTCTCACTCTTTTGCCCGGGCTAGAGTGAATGCCATGGCGTCAGCCTAGCTCACAGCAACCTCACACTCCTGGGCTCAAGCGATCCTTCTGCCTCAGCCTCCCGAGTAGCTGAGACTACAGGCATGCGCCACCATGCCCGGCTAATTTTTTCTATATATTTTTAGTTGTCTGATTAATTTCTTTCTATTTTTAGTAAAGACGGGGTCTCGCTCTTGCTCAGGCTGGTTTCGAACTCCTGAGCTCAAACAATCCACCCGCCTCGGCCTCCCAGAGTGCTAGGATTACAGGCCTGAGCCACCGTGCCTGGCCAACTTCATTCCTTTTTCTGGCTGAACAATGTATTTCATTATGTGATATGCAGTATTTGTTTCACTTTGTTTATACATTCATCCATTGATAGACATTTGGGTTGGTTCCACCTTTTGGCTATTATGAATAGTGCTGCCAGTACTGGTATATAAATTTTTGTTTGAATATATGTTGTCAGTTCTTTGGGATATATACCTAGGAGTGGAATTACTGGAACATATGGTATTTCTATGATTAACTTTTTAGAGGAATCACCAAACTGTTTTCCACAGTGGCTGCACCATTTTACATTCTAACCAGCAATGTATGAGGGTTGCAAGTTCTCTATGTCCTCCCCACCAGCACTTGTTTCCTGTTTTGTTTTGTGTTGCTGTTTTAACTATACCATCCTAGTGGGTATGAGTGATGCCCCATGTGGTTTGACTGGCATTTCCATAATGAAATGTTGAGGATATTTTCATGTTTTGGGCCATTCGTATATCTTCTTTGGAGAAATGCCTATTAAAATCTTTTGCCCATTTTTTAATTGGGTTGTGTTTTTGTTGTTAAGTTTTGGAGTTCTTTATATATTCTGGATACTAGACCTGATCAGATCTGTGATTTGCAAATATTTTCTCCCATCTCTGGGTGGCCTTTCACTTTCTTGATCAGTAACCGTTGATGCACGCAAATTTTTACTTTTGATGAGATCAGTTTATCTTTTTTCTTTTGTTGCTTGTGCATTGGGTGCTATATCTAAGAATCCATTACCAAATCCAAGTAATGAAGTTTACTTCTGTTTTCATCTAAGAGTTTTATACCCTTTGCTCTTCTGTTTAGGTCTTTGATCCATTTTTATTTAACTTTTGTATGATGTGAAGTAGAAGTTCAATTTTCATCTTTTCCATATGGTTATCTAGTTGTCTAAGCACCATTTGCCAAAGAGACTATTCTCACTGAATGGTCTCGGTGACCTAAAATCAATGACCTAAGATGCATGGGTTTATTTCTGGACTCTAAATTCTATTCCATTAAATTATATGTCTATCTTGATGTCAGTGCCACACTGTTTTGATCACCATAGCATTATAATAAGTTTTGAAATTGGGATGTGTGTGAGTCCTCTTTGTTTTTCTTCTTCAAGACTGTTTTGGCTATTTGCTCCACCTTATAATTTCATATGACTCTTAGGACCAGCTGTGCATTTCTGGAAAAAAAAAAAGGCAGCCGTTGGGATTTTGATAGGATTGCATTCAATCTGTAGATTTGGAAAGTATTACCATATTATTAATAATAATATTAAGTCTTTGAATCCATCCATGAACACTGGGTGTCTTTCCATTTTTTAGGTGTTCTTTGTTTTCAGCAGTATTTTGTAGTTTTCACTGTTTTGTAGTTTTCACTGTAGTCTTGCACATCCCTAAGTGGCTGGGAGGGGTAGCTCACACCTGTAATCCCAGCACTTTGGGAGGCTGAAGTTGGAGGATTTCTTAAGGCCAGGAGTTCTAGACAAGCCTGAGACCTCATCTCTACAAAAAAAAAAAAAAATAGCTGGGCGTGGTGGTGCGTACCTGTAGTTGCAGCTACATGAGAGGCTGAGGGAGGAGGATCACTTGAGCCCAGGAGTTCGAGGCTGTAGTGAGCTATGATCATGCCAATGCACTCCAGCCTGGGTGACAGAGCCAGATGCTATCTCTAAAAAAAATCTTTTTCCTAAGTATTTATTCTTTTTGGTGACACTGTAAATGGAAATTTTTAAAAATTGCATTTTGGGATTGTTCATTGCTAGAGTATAGAAATATAACTTATTTTTTTTCTTGATCCTGTATCCTGCAACTTTGCTGAATTCATTTATTCTAAGAGTATTTTTGTGGATTCTTTAAAAATTTCTCTGTATAAGATCATTTAACTTGTAAAAATAGATAGTTTTACTTTTTCCTTTCCAGGTTAGATGCCTTTGATATCTTTTTCTTTCCTGGTTGTTCTGGCTGCAATTTATAATACAATGTTGAATAGAAGTGGTAAAACTGGGCATCCTTGTCTTCTGGGTTTTAGGATTAAGGCTTTCAGTCTTTCACCATCCAGTATGATGTTCACTGTGGATTTTTCATAAATGCTCTTTATCATGTTAAGGAAGTTCCCTTCTATTTCTAGTGTTTTTATCATGAAAGCGTGTTAGATTTTGTCAGGTGTATGATCAATTTTGATGATGGTTTTTCTGCATTAATAGAGATTATCACATGTGTTTTTTCCCTTCATTCTATTACTATGGTGTGTTACACTGAATATATATTGATCTGTAGTTTTCTTTTCTTGTGATGTTTTGTCTGGCTTTGGTGTCAGGGTGATGCTGGTCTCATAGAATGAGTTAGGAAGTGCTCCCTCCTCTTCTATTTTTTGTAAGGGTTTGAGAAGGATTGGTGTTGATTCTTCTTTAAATGTTTGGTAGAATTCATCAGCCTCCAGGGGTTTCCTTTGTTGGGAGGTTTCAGGTTACTGACTCAACTCTTTACTTGTTATAGATCTGTTCAGAATTTATATTTCTTCTTAGTGAGTTTGGTAGTTTGTGTTTTTCTAGGAATTTGTCCATTTTATCTAGGTTATCTAATTTGTTGATATACCTTGTCCATAGTATGCTCATATAATCCTTTTAATTTCTGTAAACATTGGTAGTGATGTCCTCACTTTCATTTCTAATTTTAGTAATTTGTGCTTTATCTCTTATTTTCTTAGTGTAGCTAAAATGTTTATCAAATTTGTTGGTCTTTTCAGAGAATTTATTTTTGGTTCTTTTAATTTTCTTTATAGTTTTTCCATTCCATATTTGTTATAATAGTTTTTCTGCACTCTAATCTTTATTATTTCCTTCTATCTACTAGCTTTGGGTTTAGGTTGCTTTTTTTTTCTAGTTTCTTGAGGTGTAAAGTTAGGTTACTGATTTGAGAACTTCTTTCTTAATGTAGGCTTTTACAACTAGAAAGTTTCCTCTCAGCACTGATTTCACTGCATCTGTAAGTTCTGGTATGTTGTGGTTTTGTTTTCATTCATCTCTTAGTATTTTCTAATTTCTCTTGTGATTTCTTCTTTGACTCATTGATTGCTTAATACTGTTGTTTAATTTTCATATATTAATATTTTCGAATTTTTTCCAGTTCTGCTATTTCTAGATTTATTCCTTTGTGATCAGAAAGGATATTTTATACGAAGTCAATATTGTAAAATTAACTGAGACTTGTTTTCTGGTCTATTCTGGGGAATTTTCCATGTGTATTCTACTGTTCTTTGGTTGACTGTTGTGTATGTTTCCATTAGTTCTAATTTCTTTAGTTGTTTTATTCAAGACTAATTTGTTCAAGACTTCTATTTCCTTACTGACCTTTTGTCTTACTGTTCTATTTATTATTGAAAGTAGGTATTGAAGTCTCCAACTATTAATATTATTGTAGAACTATTTCTTACTTCTCACTACACTTCTACCAATTTTTTCAATATATATATTGAGACTCAGTTGATTGATACATATATGTTTATAATTGTTATATCTTCTTGATGAGCTGACCCCTTTATCAATCTGTAATGTCTCTTTTGGTCTTTGTAGCAGTTTTCGACTTAAAGTCTATTCTGCTGATACTACTATAGCCATCCCTAGCTCTCTTTCAGTTGGTGTTTGCATGGGATATATTTTTCCATTCATTTTTGAAGTATAGTTTTGT